CCTTCCATTCACTATCTGCATTGCTTGCTTGTTCAGCACAGCACTTAAACCAGGGCTCCCTCCTCCTCCATCCCACATCCTGCCCACACATCCTGGATAACTTCACAGTTTAGAGCTGGTGGCCAGGGGGGAAAAGCTGAACACAAAAGCTTTGGCTGAGAAAGCTCCTAGTTCCTGGTTCCAGTCATATCTGCAGCTCCAGATCCCAAAGCAAGGGCAGCCACTGGTCTGGTTTGCAAACCACTGCAGGCAGCCCAGTGAGGGAGGGTGTAAGGATCTGAGAGCTCAGCATTCCCACAGAACTTGTCCACTGCAGGAGGAAGACAGGACACCAACAGTTCCACGTGTAAGACAGGCAAACAAGGGGGCTGGTCTGATTATTGGCCCCACAGGCATTGGGAGGTTGTGGATTTCCATCATAGGTCACTGTTCTTAAACCAAGACCACTTAACATGTGCAAAGTAACCACAGAAAGCTTCTAACAAACTGTACAAGTGACAAGAAAAGTAATTTTTAGGATGCAGTAATTCATTCCTCAACCTAACACGTTAATCTGAATTGATACCTGGGATTAAGTGGCCACAAGCCCAAAAATGCAGAGGCAGTAATTGTCATAGGGAAACTCCAGAAAAGAAGTGGACCTGCTGACAACACAACTTCAGGCCAGAAGCCGAATGACAAATTTTGCCTCTGACACATATGGACTAACAGGAAAACAAATTAACAGCAGCCTGTTCTCACATGAAATTATGAGACAGCACAATAGTGTAAAAGTCATCTTATATGCAGAGATCTTAAACCTGAATTAATAGAGGACTATTGCATAGTTACTGCTAGTTATAATTTGGAATACATTAAAACCTTTACTTCCCCAGACCAATATTTAAAATAAACAAGAAGCAGTGAACAGGCACAGCCACTTCATTAAAGTGATTACATAAACTCTCAAACCAAGACTTAATTTGAATTAATAGTAAAGATAAAATTGAATGCATAAACACGCCATGCAGAAAGAATGAAGTTCTGAAAAGAATTAAGTGGTTAGATGATATCACATAGCAAACACCTGATGAATTCATTAAACACAAAGCATTGCAGATGCCACGATACAGCGAGCAGTTCCTACTTGAAAAATCAGATGGATGTCAAACTTACAAAAAACTAGTGAGTCTTAACAGCTGCAGGACGCAGGCAGACGTTTTGCAAAGCAGCAGCAAAATTTGAACCCAAGACTGATACAGCCAAAATATCAATACCAGACATTATTAGTTCCAATGAAGTTACTCCAGTGTTTGGGAGAACAGCTTCTATTTCTGCTTGGAAGTGCCAGGGATTTCTCCTTTAGACCTGCCCTGTAGCTGAGATCCACTTTCCCCCAGACACGTTCCCAAGGGGAGACCCTCAGCTCATCGATTACATAAACTACTCTCTAGTCTTACTCACCTTTGCAGGGCAGCTAAATATATGCACCACGACGTAAAATCTGCAGAGCCATCAAAGCACTTCTGCTGGAACAGAAGAGCCGACAATTTATGGGCTCTTCAGTTGTGCCTGCTTTTATCAGGCTGGTTAGTTGAAAGAAAATGCACACATAATTACTTAATCCCATTAAAACAAAGACAAATGACAGCAGACAACTCCCAAGCTCAGCAGTTTGAGCACTGTAAGATTCTGAACTCACACAGAAATGAATCAAGGAGCCTCCTCTGTGGGCAGCTCCCTCCACAGCCCCTCTTATTTTGGCTACATCAGCATCACAGCTCTGATATCCAGCCAGCTCCAGAAAATGGCATCTTGGACAATGAAGAGCTTCCAGATTTCCCAATGTACCAGTAAGCCAAGGTTTCCACTTTTTCAGTGAAGTGATTACATGTCAAATAAAGCAAGTAAATTCACAAGAAGCTACTAAAATTCAGTTGCTTCTTCCAGCATTTGGGGAGCACAAGCAGGAACCCCAACGAGGCAGCAAGTGGCAGTTTGGGGTTGATGCTTAATTTTAACATTTTGAATTTCAGAAACTTACTGGAACTCCTGTTCAGTGCACTAATGACAAAATGTAAACTGTAGTCAGTACCTGAAGAGGGAAAATGAAGCAAATTAACGTTTCTTTAGGAGATTTATAACACAGGTTTGCTGGCATGTTTACTAGGCAGGAATAAATAAACGTGTAAAATAATTGCAAGAACTCATTGAAGAACTGAAAACTGAACTTATGTAAATTCATATTAAACTCAAAAGTCATTTATTTTTAAGGCAGTAATCATTTTTTTTTAATACAAATACATATTTAGCATACCTCTAAGCACCAGGATTTTTGTCTCTGCTGTTCCCACACAATAATCTGAGCCCTTGAATGTGAGCAGTCTCACCTCCAGGCTCAGCCATCCTACAACAGCTGTCTGGGACAGGACAAGCAAACAGTGCTGACTGTAATGTTTGCTCACCAATTACCCCTTTGTAGACTCACTGAGAACCTCCCAGGACAAGGCCAGGCAGGAACCCCTATCCCAAAAGGGGAGGGATTAGGAATTTCAGTACTAGAGCACATTACTTTTTAGACTAAGCAGTAACAGTCTTGCAGGCAAAACATTTTTCTTCACGCTTTCCAGGCCTTAACTGTGGTTTACAGCAAAAGAAATAGTAATAAAATAATGCTTCCTGCAGTCTGGTTTAGTTTAGGAAAAAGGCAGAGAGGGACTGAGCCATAATTCCACATACACCTGGGACAGGGGATATCTGTCTGGAAGTTTTCCACTTCCAAGGACAGCTTGTCCAGGTACAAAGGCTCTCTGGGGAGATCTCTCAAGCACGCTGCTGTTTATTACTCTCACCTTTACCTCACCTGCTTATTAGTTCCTGAATACACTATTTCCCAAAGAACAGGAATAAACGAGTGGGAACTGCTGCACTTGGACTGCAAAACCCTGTGGGTACAAATTCCATGGATATGTGCAGAGGACCAGAGGGCCTTACTGAAGCTGGAAGCACCAACACCAGCAGAGAAGCAGCAGCAACGATGGTGACATCACTTCAGGACACCCCAGTTTTAGTGAAGTATTTCATTTATTATAGTATGGTGCAGCAATGGAAATCTTACTTTGCTTTGTACAGAAAATCCAAATTAGTCTTCCAACCCAGGGCTGCTAGGAATGGCAAGAGAATCCTTAAGTTACTTGTAAGTTATTCAAATGATAATGTTAGTACAAAATAAAAATAAAATGTTATCTTCCAATAAGCCAACTGCACATTAAAGAAAACCTATAAAGCTTTCATCAGGAACAAAGATTCCTCTTGACCACCAGCCAGTTAAGGTGGCAGAACTCTCAGGAATATCTCTGGAAAGGGTAGGATTGTCAGTTAAGCCCTTGACCATTCTATCCCAGCACAGTCCTACATCACCTCCATCCCTTAATAAGAGCAGAGGACATCACTCAAATACAGAAGCCAAGCTTGCTTTACAGTCACACTGCTCATTACCACAATATCAGAAATCACATCCTTTTCATATAGAAGAGATGAAAAAAAATGACAGAGCAAACACCACACACTTCCCCTTCAGCTGCCTTAGAGAACAGATTCCAGGGAATTTCATTGACATATGTAGCCAAGTATTGCATAGAATAAATTTTGTCAAACTCCAAAGGGACCAAGAAATTTTCCTTCCAGCTCTCCAGAACCATAAAGCCATCAGACTCCAAGCCCTGCTGCTGCCCTGTTGACACAATAACACTGTCCATACTTCCCATCTCTTTAGAGAGCTTTAAAGAATAAGTATTAAATTCTTAAAGCCATTCCAGTAAAAAAATCCTGTACAATGACCCTTTCATCACCTGTGACTGGAAGTTTCCCTGGTGGGAAAGGTGTTCTATTACTTGTGTTTCAGAAGCAACCAGAAGGTCATGGAACAACTACAAAATAGAAATGTTTTATTGCAAATCTGATATTTATTCCCTGCTTAGAAACTGCCACACCTGCCACCTTCTGCTTGCTGTTCCTTCTAAGCCCAAGTTTATCAATATAAGCACTTTAATATAGTAAATTCACACTTCAATTTCTCCAGGAGTTTAAGGTGCTACTTTTGCGTGGTTATTTGTACGATCCACCCATCAATTTGTTGTGGAAAGTTGAAGCATTTCAGTTTGACTCCTCTGGCTCACTGACTATTCCAAAACAATAACTGTCCTAGGATTTGGTGCAAATACTGGCGAACACCGTCCAGGAGGAGCAGAGAGATCAGGGCTGGGAAGGGGGAGCAGGAACGGCTGTCGGGACACCGGGGAACGGCGGAGGTGCCCGTGCCAGGGCCCAGCCCAGCACCGGGCTCGTGCCAAGGCAGAGGCAGGGCTGGGAGGAGGCAGAGGCAGCTCAGGGAGCTCCCAGCCCTCGGCACTGGAACAGAAACTGAAACTGTGCCGGGCTCCCAGCAGCCCCGAGCGGAGGGAGCGCACGGACGGCTGCAGTAATCAGGTGGCACCAAAGCAGCACCAGCAGCACCGCAGCCTTTGCTGCTCTGAGCCGGGCTCAGCACCCAGACCTGGGCTGCAGCTCCTGCTGGCTCTGCTCAGCTCCAAGGACATATTTAAGCGTGGTTTACATCAACAAGCAGGCAAAAGCATTTCAGCTGTGCCCACCCTGCAGCGTGCCTTTCCTTTGGCTTGTACCTTCACTTCAAACTACTGAGCATTTCAGCCTTGGAAAATCAATGTTCCACTCAAAGCTCTACTTATCATTATAGGAGTGACTGCAGCTCACAGGTGCTTAGTGTGTTTGTTTGGGGTTTTTTTAACCAAGAGACTAATATTTAACTAACAGCACAACTCCAGCCTTTTCCTTCTGAAACCCCCATTTCCCACGGGCAAAGAGCAAAGGTAAGAACCCACCTTCATTTTTAACCTATCCCATGTACTCAGTTGTCTTCCACTTGCTCCTCCTCTCCATTCCACACAAATATAGTTTTGTTTGCTTCTTTGGAAAGGCCATATTCCAGTTTCAGGGCCCTGAGATTTCAATGAACATCAGGAACAAACTCCACATTTCCAAAGCTGCCTCTCCCCCCATTTTCCTGGCTGATCACTGACACCCGAGCCATGGATCACATCTGGGAATTGCCACATGGACACACTGCCAGGTATCCAAGGTACTTGTCCTACAGATTACAGTCAAATCCCAGGATAAGTAAGTGCAGGTGTATAATGAAGCCCACTTAAAATGAAACCAGTCTCAGGCTTGGGGTACAAGAATTCTGTAGTAAGATTTATGACCTTTAACAGGAACTTCATTATAAAGAAAGTGACTTTCATATAATGAAAACCATCTCTCTCTTAAGAGGAATGATGTGTTAACATCAGCAGAGCTGTGTTTCAGTGTTTTCTGTTTGCAATCCAGCACCATCATTGTCACTTAAAGTTCATTAATTATTCTAAAAATGCCATTACTGAAATACAATTGTATGCAATTTTTTAATAATTTTCTTCAGAAGGTGGCATTTCATCTATTTTTAAAGTCTGAATTTTCCAGTAGAGCTTACCCTGTGTTCTTAGAATTACTCAATACATCCAAATACAAACATTAGTAATGAGCCCTATTAATGCAGGTTTCACTTCAAGCTTAGATTTACTTCACACAGTTAAGTGAGTTCATTTCACTGGAAAAAGAGATTCCCTAAAGGAAAAAAACATCAACTACTGTGGCTGATATTGCCCAATACATTGCTGAAAAATAAATTCTACTGATTGGATTTTTTTTTTCATTTCCCCCCTCCCTGAGCAGCACTTTTAAAAATACAGTCTTTTAATGATTGTTTAATTTTCATATAACTAGAATATAAATCCTTTACATACTGCTTTGCTGCAGCTGCAGCATAATGTCTCATTTTTCATGGAAAAAAACCTAATTACGTGGTTCACCAAATTGCCTGTGGTAACACATCAATTTTATTTACCTTCAAAATCTGGACTTGGATTTGTTCTCAGCAGTCCAGTTAATGCCAAGCCCATTTTGCACAATAGTTCTCCTGGATTCATTAGTAACACCTCACTCTGCTTTATTGGAAGGGATTCCCAGGTATTGGAACCTTGCTTTGGATTTCCAGTGCTTTCCTAGCAGTTCCACTCCCACAGTTCTATCCCAGTTTAAATATCCTGGATTTGCTCTAAGTCTGGCCTTGCTGACACAGTTCTGCAAAGGACCACCAAATGTCCATCCAGAAGGCAGCTGTTAATATTGCCTCTGGACTACCAACTCCTTTTTTCACAAAAACACAGAAAAACAAGAATTGTTGTGTAGCAAATAAAACCTAAAGGTTAATTACACAAAATTTCAAATATTTCTGTCAAACCGAGCTTATATTTGGAAAGCAGATTATGAGGAAGCACATGGATTCAGTAGAGAATTTCTTGGCTTTGCCTTCCATCAGTGCCTTTCCTCTAAACTGTTTTCATTAGGTAATTTGTTGCAATCAACAGGAAAACCTCCAAATTCCCAGCCATGAACAGAATTAAGATATTAATTCTTGAGTGATACAAATAAAATAAAACAGCAAAAAGCATTAGGCTTTTTTACATATGGCCCTTTGGTAGATTTCAGACTTTTTAATGAAGACCAGACTTTTTAGCTTTATATATTGCCAGCTGTAAGAAGAGGGAAAACACACTATGTGAGAATGATCCATGGAATATCCTGAGCTGGAATGGACCCACACAGATCAGTAAGGTCCATTTCTTGACTAGAATTGGTAATGAATTCACAAATGCCACATGTACTCATTGGATCCTGCTCTGAACACTGAGATTCCCTGTTCATGTGGAGACAAAACCACTGCAGGAAAGAGGAATTAAGGCAAAGGTAAGTGCAATCAGAATTCCAAACAGGACACTCAGTTTTAATTTTTTTTAAAGACTCCCAAAACCCAACTTTCAAATAAAAGGAGTAGAAGTGGTGGGAAGAACATTTATTTAAAAGAAAGCAAAACAAAATGAAGACATCTCGCCCAGACACAATAAGGCTCTTGTCAACTTCATGTGTATAAAAGGAGTTGGCATTTTCCCATGAAGCAATTCCTTAATCCCAAATGATGGCATAATAACCTCATTTAATATGCCTGCTTAAAAGAAAAAGTTTATTTTGTCTAAGCTGAACTTCAACTGGCAATCACTGGACACCAATTACCAGTGTCAGATATAAGGGTCACAGAACAATTCTGCGGGCTGAGAAAGTAGGAATTCACTTTTCAATCCCATCTTCTGGCCAAAAGAATGGAAAAGTTGAACTTTGTTTTCATGTCTTTGGGAATAATCTATGCTAGGCAATTAAGAAAATGCAAATTACTTATCTTATTGAAAATAATCAAGCCAGAAACAGACTTTTCAGTAACTTAATATTCCAATAAAGTCTTCTGTCACAGGAACCTACTTGTTAATTCCACTCTGCGCTCAAGAACCGGCAATTAACCATTTTCAGATTTCACTTCAAATTATTAATAAGTGGTACTCAGCTGCTTGATATTCATTGCTGCTTTTTAAATGGAAAGCCTTCCAAAAGCCTTACATTTCAGATCCTTTATTCCTTGTTCATGAACTGCTTTTCCATGCCCTGGCTGCTCTCTTTCCTGGTACCACTGGGCATGACAAGAGTTGTGGGGTTTATGGAGTTACTCAGAGTGCACAAAATTGTTGTAGTACACATCCCATGCTTTCACCAAAGCCCAGGGATCCCAGGAACAACCTTTGGGCAAATCCAAGGAAGTCTCCAAGTCAGCTGTAATGCAATTCCAGCAACTCCCTCCCTTCTTGCCCTCTGCCATAATCTCACAGTAGAATGAAAACTGAGGAGCATTCTCATTTGAACACCCATTTCACAGCAAGGGGGCTCAGTCTTCATTTCACGCATTGCTTCACACACTTAAAATGTGTTTGAATAGACAGGAACATCTTCTCATTCAATAATTAACGTATCTCACTACACAGAGCTTAGAAAATACTCTAATTCCTGACAGAGCTCCCACTTTCTCACAATTGCAGAAATAAGACAGTACCCTGAAAGAACCTTACATAGGCCCAAATTAAAATGGAAAGTAGATTTTTCACTACTTTATTCTCTTTTACACTAGTGGAAACAAAAAATATAATTTTTTCCAAGTTTTCCATTGTTGTTCTTTTAATCCCTACTAAATGCTGACAAGCACCAACTACTAAACATTTACAGGTTAAACATTGACTTGATTTAGAAGACTTGACTGGTAAATGAAACTTTGAAGTCTGGCAGTTCATAAGAGAGCATCAAGAACCCTTCCTAGAAGGAATAAAAACAACTAAACTGAGTTCTGGGGCAAGTTGTTCTCCTCAGGAAAGATCCTTAAAAACAGAGCTGACAATGTTCTGCTTTCCTGTAGGTAAAAATCAGCAAATTTCAGATAGAGAAACAAGAAGAGAAATTATTTTTGGGCCACAACCACATGGGTTAATGTGGGTGCCCTGCACACAGCTCTTCCTACAGGCAGCATTTTTCCCTCCTCACTTTTATCAGCACCAGGGGATTACGGCTGCGCCAGCCCGATATGCCAAGAATTCATAAACAGGAATGAGCCGAAGCTCCAGGTTTTTCCTGTCATAGCTCAAATTTCAGCTACGTTTTTAAACTTACCAAGCTGCAAAGATCCTGTACAATAATCTTTCAGGAAAGAACTGCCTAATTCATTCAAGATCATCTATTCTTCATAAGCTTTTCCATCCAAATTCTTATATTCTACACAGCAGAAATTGAAATAACATAATTTTTCTGGGGAAGCAGCTCCAGAAATTAATGGATCATGTGCAATATATAGATGGAAATCCAAAATACCTACCAGAATCAGTGAGTTCAGGCACACAAGCTACTAAGCTGATAGAAAGATGTAGTTTTACCTAAAGGACTATCAAACACCCAGAATGTATTCATTTTCAAGCTCCTGTCTCCTGCCAGCCTTCCAGAGTCCACCTCCAGTGCTGTGCTTACAATCACCAACCTGTATTCTCAGTAGTGGTACACATCATAATCCCTGAGAATGCCAATATTCTGTACCACAAATGCAGCAGACCAAGTGGAATATATCCATAAATCCAGAACAGAGATTATAAATTGATAGACAAAACTCTCAGAGAATTACAGAATATTCTGAGTTGAAAGAGACCCACAAGATCATCAAGTCCAACTCTTGGAGTGGTGTAAAATGTCAGGGCAAAGTGCTCTTGGCTTTTGGAAAGATGGGAACTGAGGAACAGATCTCCCTTCCCTGTAATCTCTGTGGAACCCACAGGGTCTAGGACAGGGGTGGGAGAAGAGAGAAAACCCAAGAGTTGAGTCTAAATTCTCCATGATGCTCCAGATGGTATTTGGTCACCAAATGCAAATGAGAGCTCTGCAACTTGCAAATCCACAACGTTTCTGTCAAAAACGCTGCCAACAGTCAGACACTCCCTCCTCTCCTTCCACTTGTGTCGGATGCACAAAAAAATGGATTTATAGGAAAAGGTACTGTGCCTGGAACAGTTGCCAAACCTCTCCAGGCAATATCATTAAATACCATTTATCCTTCAGAAAACCAGACTTCAACAAACTTAAGCACACCCAACTTTGTCAGATTTACAGAGCCACTCCGGTTTTTCCCGACTCACTGACCCCACCCCAATCAGCTTTTTCCACCCAGGACTGAATAAAGATCTTCAACCTCTCATCCAGTTTTAAATGCCAGCACAATAAAAACCAGAACACCACAGTCAAGGCTGGCAGGAAGAAGAAATGTAGGAGAATGTGCAAGAGAGACCTCTGAAGTTCCCAGCTGCTTGGTTAATCCAACCACTCCACTGATCTATAACTGCTCTGCAAATAATTGTTTTTACTTAATCTCCCATGACAGCATTTAATTATCCACAGTTTTGGAAAGCTACTACATAAACAGCTCTCCTCATACCTCCTGTTTACAACACTAAGTTGTTTTCCCTATGACTATTTGAAATTCTTTTACTAATGGCAGATTTGTTGTTTACCAAATCTTCAGTGTTATGAAGAGAAAGAGTTCATGAGCAAAAGTTTTTGAAGTGCTTCTGAAAACAAAGCCTCAGTTTGGACTTTTCCTCTGTTTACTGAAAGCAGTAAATATCACACAGCACTATTGGAGTGACTCTCTTATCCAGAAAAAAAAAATAAAATTATAATTTAGACTTGAATTAATAAAACATAATATTTAAAAATTAAATTCTTTAAAATTTAATTATCACTAAAATATTTCACTTTCAAAGCACAAGTCATAGGCAGGAAAAGAGAAATCCAAAACTTTATTCATGATAAGAATTCATGACCTTACTAACAGGCTTTATTCCCTATAGCCCCTATATCTCAGATGTCAATGTTTTGGATAGACTCTAGTCTTCCTCTTGGATTTGCAGCATCAGATTCCTGGGACTTGTACTCCTGAAGATGTGAATACAGCACAAGAACAAAGTTCTGGCCATGGAACTCTAAGTCACAGTGACAATCCAACCTGCAGGAACAGCATTTTAAGCCAAAGCAGCTCATTTCCTGAGCACGTTATACCAGAAAAAGGCATCATGTTACCCTGGCCCAGCTGACAGGCAAGGAAAACTCTGCTTCAGTAATTTTCCTATTTTCTGTTTGTATGCCCACATGGAAAAGCCCTTTATATTTTCAGGAAGCTAATTTCAACTATCAAATAGCTCAGTATTGTGGCCTGTTTATAACAAAAAGCAGAATAAACTTGTTCCTTTTGCCTTCTGGCTGCATGAAGCAGTGAACACAAACTGTGTCCTTTGTCCTATCCCAAGGAATCAATGGACATAAATGCCTTGTTCTGGCAGAATTTGAGGCTCAATATTAGTCAATACTGGTGTTTGAACTCTAAAATGTACTGAACAGAACCCAACAGCTCTATCAGCAGAAAATGTACAACACCTACACAATTTACATCACTTTGAACTATATCTGATAAGTCACTACAAGTGTTTCAATGTGCTTTTAATATAGAACAAGGAAATCTATCCTTGTAGGATTTACACACATGACAACAAATGAGTTTCAGATTGAATTCCACTTAGAAGTTACTGATTTGAAGGCTCCAGCCTGGATGCAGGAACACCTCGAGTGCTGTCCCCAGTTCTGAGCCCCTCAGCTCAGGAAGGACCTTGAGGGGCTGGAGCATGTCCAGGGAAGAGAATGGAGCTGGGGAAGGGGCTGGAGCCCTAGGAGCAGCTGAGGGAGCTGGGAAAGGGGCTCAGCCTGGAGAAAAGGAGGCTCAGGGGGGACCTTATGGCTCTGCACAATTCCTGACAGGAGGGGACAGCCAATGGGTCGGGCTGTGCTCCCAGGACACAGGAGGAGAGGGAACGGCCTCAGGTGTGCCAGGGGAGTCTCAGGTTGGACACCAAGGAATTTCTGCATGAAGGGGTGTTAAACACTGGCTGGGGCTGCCAGGGAGGTGGTGGAGTTCCCATCCCTGGAGGCGTCCAAGGAACACCTGGATGTGGCACTCAGTACTCTGGCTGGGGGATCTGACACAGGTTGGACTCAATGACCTTGGAAGTCTTTTCTGAACTAAATAATTCTGTGACTCCATATAATTTTGAACCAGGAAAACAATGTGTGACAGTGCTGCTTTGCTATACTCTGCCCCATACTGCACCCAGCAGAAGAAGGTTCAGCTGTCCAGACATTTAAGTGGATTTCCATACCACCACCACTGGAAGCAGCATCACATTGTTGTAACCGAGATGTCAGATATAAACAAGCTCCATCAATTTACAACAGAAACAGAAGCATCACCTGCAACTCTCCTCAAATAAAAAGACACTTAAGTCCCATCTACTGCATTTGAAATATTAAATAAACTATATTTCACTAAGAGAAAAGCATATATTATTAAAGCTTTGTTGGGTAAGTAGAAATATTACCCATTCCCTCATTCAAAACAGGTGCCTCATAAAAAATGAATGTCAGTGGAATGGCTCAGCACAGCACTTGTGAGCCATCTCTTTAATTATACATGATCACAGGGCTACCTGCTTGGAACACGCCCCAAGGTACCCAGGCCTCCATATCTGTGATTTCACAGGCTCTGGTGCCAAATAAACAATCTGGCAGCCATCAAAGCAGGAAGTTTGGAACGGTGCTTTGAACAGAACTAAAAGACATGAATATACCATAACCCAGGACTAAACAGTGCAGGGTACAGGTGGGAGATAAGGGACAACTCAAGCACACTTGATAAACAAAATATACTGTGTACTTGAAACAAATTTTATCACCAAGTCACCAGAAGGTCAAAAGGCCACAAGGATAAAAAATTACTGCAAGAAACCAGAACCTGATCCATATGATTGTCTCGGGCTTTTTTAACTACTGTTATTATTCCAGAACTAGTGAACTTCAGTTGTTTTCTTGCAAGACACAAGGTGAAAATAGAGGTAAAATTCATCAGCCTAATAAAACACCTTTTAGTTCAGAAAAACTAAGACTTGTCATAGCAACAATACACCACCAAAAAGAAAATAGTTCACACTGCATATAGTCAAACCCAAACAGGATCACAACAGACACAGTAGAAGTAACTTGATCATGTTAAGGCTCCACATGCTGGTGACTCTGAGGACAATCCCAGTTACACAAAGCCTATAATCACCAACTCATCACTGTCATCTCTGACCTACCTGCATCTTCCTGCCTCCTATTCCACTCACTTGTTGCAACTCGCCTTGGATCATGCTCAAATCCCGCAGCACGAGCAAGGAGCAAGTCCTGACCTCACAGATTTACCTGGGGTGCCATGGAGTTCACCTGACTCTGCAGGAGAGGTGATTTATTCCATCAGCTACAACCTTATGCCAGAGCTGGGGTATTATTATTATTAACACCATTCCTAGGAACTAGAATTTACTTTCAGAGGTTCCACAAAAATCCAAGTCATGATGTTGACTACAGGTCTGAGTTCAAGTTTCACTTTGTATTTTATCACACAGCAAAAAAAGTCAAACTTACAGGTTTTTTGTTTTCCTGTAGGTCTTAAAACACGAATTATGACAAAATCACATCAGGTAGCAAGTTAAAGCATTACAAAAAATTGCTTTTTCACTGGAAAAAATTGATGCAATTGAGAAGCAAAGAGTGGCTTACTGTGCAGCTCGCGGTGGATGACATCGACCAGGTTGGGCTCGTCCCCCCACCAGAATATCCAGAGCTCCTTGCAGTCGGGTTTGACGTCGCGGCGCCACACGCACAGCAGGTTGGCCTGCAGGCAGCGGATGAAGCTGAGCAGGATGGGATCATCCTGGGCTGGAGCTGAAATGATGGGCCCACAGTCCCCGTGGCCTTCAAAGTTGTACCTACGCCATTTGATGCCCGTCAGTTCGGCCTATGGGAAACAAAAAAAGAAGAAAAGAGTCATTGGATCACTTAATAATTTAGTTATAGTCATAGTTTGTTTTATTTTCATTGGTTAATTCCTCAATTCAAGCTCAAAAATCCTCCTATTCATATATTTTCCTTTATTCCCCTTCAAGGAAAAGAATTTAGAAACAGCACTGAATAAACCTGGCTTACCCCTGCCTTTAGGTTTTCACCACAACCTGACTCACTTCTATTAATTTCTATTCTATTCATTTCCAACAGTTTCATTCAACCTTATTGTCATCTTACAAGTTAGAAAGGAAAAAAAAAAATAAACAGGGAGAGGAAATAAGGCTCATTTCCTACAGGCTGCTTGGTGGCCACATGAGCTTTGTGTCAGCCCAAAAGTTAGTCACTTGAAAGTCACAAAGTACCACAGTAATTAAGAAAAACAGTGACTTACTGGAAAAGCTGTAACAGTTTCACATTGTGCCATTACAGGTTTAGCAAATGGGGTTTTTATTTTTATTTTGTTCAAATGAACAAAAGCAGAATATGGAAAGTTGCCATTTGCTGCCTCTCAACCAGACAAAATTCTCTTGTTAATCATCAAGGAAAAAGGAAAAGAACATATTTGCTATCCAGACATTTGGGAAAGGTTTTCTTTGGGAGCTGAACAGCTTCCCCAGGGAATGGGCATGGCCCCAACGCTGCCAGAGCTCTAGGAGTGTTTGAATGATCTCAAGGATGCACAGGGTGGGATTGTTGAGGTGTCCTGGGCAGGGCGAGGAGTTGGATTCAATGATCCTGGTGGGTCACTTCCAGCACAGGGTGTTCTGTGATTCTGAGATTTTCCTCCACTCCCAGTTTGCCCCACCCCTGCTGTAGCCTCCCCTTTCTCTCCACTCTCCAGCAAGGGACAGGCAATACCCCCAGGAAAGTCTGGCTGTTATCAAACACAACAGGTGTGTGCATACCCTGCTCACAGTGGGCTTGTACTCTGCTCTCTACCTGTTACCACATTCCTGCTCCTGCTATTCCCTCCACTGCTCCATTTCCAGTGTTCACACCTTCCCTTGGCTGCCCAGAGGCAGCTGGTGCTCAGCTCCCAAGTGCTCCTGCAGGAACAGCCAGCTGGTCTGCCACAAGGAGTGCAAACACTCCAGGGCAGCAGCTACACATCTGACAAGAGGGCATTGCCAGGGACAAGGGAAAGACCCAGCACTGGAAACACTGACTGCAGGAATGAATTTTTACTCCTAAAGAAAACAAAAGACTTGTGGATCATGTATTCCTCCCATTGTCATCACCTGTGTAATGACATTCAACTTCTTCTCCAAAACCAAAATTCCCCACCATATACAAAAAGATTTCCTTTTTCAAGTCCACAAACTTAGTCCATTTACAAGTTTAGACTCTAAAAATTACTTCTGTCCACCACAGTAGATGAAAGGAGCCTGCCTGGTTCAAGAGCTGACTGGTGAACTGCTGAGGAGCTGAAGGTGATGCTCATCATACCAACAACAGAGCAAAAACCACAAGTATTTATTGGATTTTGTAAAGACATTCTCTAAAACAGTTTCACCTCATTACTGCATACTGCCTGGCACAGCAGGGCTCTGGCCCATGGCTACAACTCTTGGGACTCTGCCTCAAGGACTATTCCCCCAAACACTGATTGTCCAGATTGCCCATTTAATTGACCTCTGAAGAGGCCTCACCAGGCACATGGCCACTCAATACTGCACTGAGAATTGGAAAAAACCTGTGGAACACTGGGAAATTTGGTTTATTGTTTGCAGGCCCCTAAACCACCAGTCATCTTTAGCTCCACAAGGCAGAAGGGACTGGCATCCTATATCCTGCCAGCAGGACACCAGTCCTGGATTGTCCCAGCTGGAGGCTCCCTACAGCCAGCACTCAGCTCTTGCACTCAGACAGAAATGCTGATCAGCCATCCACAGGGTTGGGAGCTATGGAGAAGGAAATGGGAAAAGATAGTCCAGAGTGGCTGAGATACACAGCCATGCGCCACCTTCATGGCATGACAAAGGCAGGAGAATGCAGGAGGAAGAGGCAAAATGGAAGAAGTTATTTTTTCCATAGCTTAGACTGTTATTTAGTGTATGAGGTGCTGGAACACCTCATACACTAAATAACAGTCTAAGAAAGCACTCCTCCAAAACATATACATCTGTTCTACATGCATCCCCAGCTACAGCTTGGAAAAGGAATGGGCAGAGTTTCTGGAGCAGGACAATGAATGTAACTACAGACCACAAAACACCAAGAATTAATGCCAGCATAGACAACCTGTGAAAAAATGATGTTAAATGTTTGTGCCATAACCAGCTAAGAACATATGCTAAGTCACAAAGAGCATAGAACAGGAAGATGATGAAAACCAAAACCAAAAAACCCAACTGAACAAAGGACGTTACCCAACAGCAGCACTCGCTTGATCCACACAGCAAAAGCCAGAGCTCGGCTGTTTCAAAGAGCAAGAGGCTCCTGTGGCTTCCTGCCAGCTCAGAGGTATCACCCCAACATCCCCCCAGAGGAGGGACGAAACAGAGTCAAGGAAAGCACAGCGAACTCAGCAGAGCTGTGCCCAATTTAATTCTGCGCTAACTCCTGGAGTCTGTAATTCTGTGGACTGTGAGGAATGATAAACTACTAACCTGGATCACACCAGTGCCCACCCACACACACAGAGACTCCCAAAAAAAGGGAGAGAAGTCCTGGGGCTTTGGACTCAGCAGCAGCATTAAATGAGCTCTCACACATCGTTTCCCAGTTTGAGTTGCAGAGATGTGGTTCAGCACATGTATTGGGATATGTCTGTTTCTGTTTAAATTTTTAATAGGTAAGCATCAGTACTAATCCCTCAGAACTTCTGGATTGTGTCCTCATGTTAATTAAAACTGAATTCAAGTAGAAATTTGAATCCAGAAGGAATACACAAGAGCAGACTACACCCAAAACACTTACACACTACGCCTCTACTGATGTTCTGTGTAAAGTATTTAACACACTATAGGGAGAAGATCTGCATCCACATGGGGATTTATTTACATTAATTTCTTTAAACAAACCAACAGCCCTGGTTTGAAGAGGCTTCCATCTGTAGCAGGGTTTGCACAGACAAGACAAGCAGTGGGCTGTGGTTCTGAGAACTGCTCTGAAGATCCAAATGTGGTTTCATTTGTGCTTCACTGGCAGTGAGCACAGGCTGACCCAACACAGCCTTGTCCTCCTCTTCAGCCCCAGCCACACATTTCCATGTCCCAGTCTGACACTGGATATACTGCTCATGGAATCATTCCATGAATGGGATCACTTCACCAATTTAAACAAGAGAAAGCAAGAGAAACACAAATATTTCCAGGCTTAGCACGCTGCAGCCAGGGAATCACTGAGCAGCCCCAGGAGAGGAGGGAGAGCAGAGTGGGATCTCCCCTGTCAGGGACAACTCCAATCAGATAAAACACAACCTTCAGCACACCCAGACTGCTGTTCCTGTACACCTCAACCAACACAAGCAAGCACTGGTGCCAGAGCACCAGGCTTGGCCTGGGTGCCTTCCCTGCAGCACTCAGCTGCTGCTCAGACATTCACACTGAGCTGGGCTGACTCAAACCCAGAAGGGTTGGATTAAACGACTTTTTCCTCTACTCAGATCAGTCCCCACACCTGATTCATTAAACAGCCACAGAGATGCTTGTACCGGGAAATCTGAGGACAGCAAAGCAGGTCAGGGAGGGCAGAGATGCTCTGATTAGTAAAACTGCTGGTTTGAAAGCAGCCTGAAACATTGAGACAGAAACCAAAATTGCCAACCTGAGGCCAAAACTGTGAACATGCTGTTTAACACACAACTGGCTAGAGATGAATGCAGAACAAAGCAGAACTCTCGCCAGGTGATGTAACTGACTGTGTTTCTTGCATCTCTTCCCATATGCATAGTTTTGGCTTATTGCAGTTGCTACAATGTTTTTAAAACTACAAAGCCTCACCAAAAAAAACAAGGAACTTACAAATACTTATTATTATCCAACACTGTTAGCAAATCATGCATTAAATGAGATTTTTGCTTTGGTTTATAAAGGAACATGTGTTATGGAGGACTGTGCTGTGAAGGGTTTAACTGCTCAGATTAGTGGGGCTGTTTTGAAATGGAGTTTTTTTCTAAGTTCAGCAACTGCACTTGGACACAGAATATTTGTGAGACGCCAGTTCTAAATGCACTGGGCCAAGTGTGTAAAGAAACAGAAATTGGATCTCTAACAGTAATACCCAAACCCTTCACTAACATCCAACTTCTTACAGAGTAATTCCCAAGACACAAGAAGATCTGTTTCTGATGTTTTCAAAAGCAGCTGTCAGGGTAGAAGAGTGTGTTCAAATTCCACACAGGCATCCAAAACCACTCAAAATATCCCCCCAAAATAGGCATTAATGAAAACAGTGCATTGCCAAAGTCTTTATTCAGATGCATAGCCTTAGAGTGATCACACAAAGTCCCTTGGAAAGGAACACAAACTCAGGTTTCAGTGACCATCATCACACCCTGCAGAGTGAAACAGCCTCAAAAGAGATGAGCTGAGTGCTCAAACCTCTGATCCCCCCTGCACACACAGACAAGCAGAGAGACACAGAAAGCAAATTAGCACTTTCCTTCACACCCTGCTGCCCTAAATACAGACACCTCCACATGTACCTGCCACAGCTCAGGGATCCAGGACACCATCCACGACTGTGAATTCCTAGGAGACAGAAAACCTAAGCTCTCATTCTTTTCCCCCTTCAGGCTTAAATCACAATAATAGGCAGGCTGGTAGGTTCTTCTGCTGATCTCATCGTGCTCCACTCAGATTGGCAGAGTTTAGGCTGCTAAAAATCACAATTCCCCAGTAACATTTCACAGTGCACAACTTGGTGCTGGCATGCTCCCAGCAACCCTGAAGATATAATTAGTGCTGGGTAGCCACTGTGACTGCTTTCCTCTTCTGCAGCCCTTGCAGA